AACGCTGGCAACTGTGAGACAGAGAAAGAGGGTCCTTTGCATTGGCCACTAAACGTCCTATCAACCCTTACTTTCTCCATTGTCACCTAGGGGTGGTTCCAGAGTCCCTACTGCTTGCTCTGTAATCCTAGTGCAGCCTGGGGCAGGGTTCTATTATCTTATGACTGCAAGGTCACCAGGTATGGAGAGGCTGAGGTTAAGCCCTAGGCTGTGTCCACCTCCCACAGGTCTTTCAGATCCCCCACAATTCCAGAGAGCTAGCCTCACCCCTGTCTTGTATCCTGCTCAGCTCCCAGAATCCTACTCCCCTGGAAGGACTTCCAGAAAGTCACTCTCCCTGACAAGACTCAGATAAGCTCCTGGACACGAATGACAGGTGTTTGTAAAACCTCAGAAATCGGGTACAAGCCTGTGTGTGCATAGGTGTGCCTGAGCACATGGGGACTTTTCTAAGGAGCAGCCTTCAGCTCTCTCATCAGATTGTCAAGGAGAGCTGTGCTCCAAAAGGTTGGAAATCCCTTCATTAGTGTCCCTCAGCCCTCCCACTGTGACCAGCCCTCTGAACTCCAGGTGAGAATGTGACCACAGGCCCTGGGGTCGGGGCTCAGAGACAGCAAGTGGTCAGGTGCAGGGTGCCCCCCAACCCTGTCTCAACAGACTCCAGGCCCTGTGCAGGTTGTTTCTCCTCCACCTCGCCATGGAGCTGGAGCTCTGGGTGGGCTCCAAGGTCCAGCATGGCCGGATGGCCACGAAGAGACAGTGTGGGGTCTGGGCTTCGGGAGGCATCCGGGTGGGGCTGTTGCTAGACGAGCAGCTGGCCCTGGGCTACGGGTGCTGACAGAGCAGAGAGGATCTGCCCTTCCTCCTTGGGTTTGAGCAGATGAGGAGTGAGTGACAGCAGCAGGTCCAAGCCAAGTGGCCTGATGGGGCTCTCAGGCCTCTTCAGCCACCATGGAGGCCCCGGAAATACCGAGGCTGGGAGGGGACTCGCAGGAGGACAGAAGCCTAACCTCCTATCACTTGGGTCTCGGCCAGGTCATCCTTCAAGCCCTTTCAGCCGCACTGCTTGCCTCACCCTTTGCTGCCATCAAACCCCTGCCTCTGCCCCAGCCAGGCCCTGAGCTTCCTCTCCTATCAGACTCCAACACCATACTCAGAAAGATCTTGTATGTTTTTCAAATTAATGCAATTAAGAGCATTAAAGTTTGCAAACGATAGAGTTTTTCATTTTCCTTTTATTTGATTAGAGAAATTCCCACCGCACAGTTCCTCCAAATGAAACCCAGACCTGGGGCCCATTGTGCCGAGGGCTTCCATGAGAATGTGTTACCTTTCAATCTCACACACTAATGTGTTTAGCGTTACAGTCCCCCCCGGGCGGCTGCAGGAAGGATCTGGAGTCTTGATTAAAGCGGCCTTTGCCGGGCAGGAATGTGGGCTCCTCCAGCCGGGAGTCACAGAGCGGCTGGGTGTTCAGAGGCAGAGCCTCCGCTCAGAGCCGGGCTCCGTGGCAGTTGTGCCTGGGTGTGATTAGGTGTCTTCCCTTCTCTGTGGTCTTTCCTCTGGATCTCCTGCACACACACACATGCACACCCTTCCGTAGCTTCTTTTTTCTCTGTATTGCTTCCCCTCTATTCCTTTCATCCTCTCTTCTCACCTTCTGGTCCCTACTTGGCCTTTGGGCTTCATGGCAGCCCCCTTATAGTCATCTGGTCCAGAAGTGTCCTTTAAGACACCATGCTGTTCCTTCCTTGGTCAGGCCCAGAGCACCAAGGTGAGGAGCAGAATTAGAGCCAAAGCTAAAAATTGATTAGCGGAATATGTAAGGAAGGCCTGAGAGAGTGAAGAAGGAGGGTTGTAACCCCTGTTAAAAAATTCGACGAGTGCCAAATTTAAACAGGATGTTAAGTCTACACCCCTCCTGCCCCAAATCACCAAAGGCTCAGCACTGGGAGGCCCAGGTTCCTTCCTCTTCCAACTGGGGTGGCTGGTCCAGACCCCAGGGTGGCCAATGCCCTGGGACAGGAAGCTGATGGGACTTCCCTGCTCCAGTGCTTTGTGCCCTGCAGACCTCTAATAGTCTGTACTGGGGTCCTCAGGGACACCGCCGTGACCTGGCCCAAATTAGGCAAAACTGAAAAACAATCGGGCTTGTAAGCTAGGATACAAACTAAAAATAAAGGCTGCTGACTCTCAGAGGCTGCTCTGGCTACTCCCAGGTCCCACAGAGTCAGAAGAGCTGGGGTGTGATCCCTCCTCACCCCTACCCCAAACTGCTTTGACCCTCTGCCGCACTGCCAGGTGCCTGAGAGCCCATTCACAAACAGCACGGGCACCTACACCTTGCAGAGCAGGGTGGGCACTGAAGGGAGTTCAGAGAGCGGTCTGCTCCTCCCCAGAGTGGTTAAAGAAGTGGGGAGCCTAAATTCTTCCAGTTGACCCTTGCAATGACATTCTCTATGGGGAGGTGAGTCCTTCCTCCCCAAGCCCCATCCTGCATAAGTGGGGACCATCTAGATTTGCAGATAGAAGATTAAGGAAGGGGCCTAAGGCTGAGGAGGCCTTCACTATAACCTCCCCAGCCTCTGCAGAGCCCACACCTGGCAGTTCCACACATTCAGGTTTGATTTGCCCTGTGGAGAAGCTTGGAGACCCGAGGGTGGAGGCAGGGATCCCAATACCTACTAGAGTTGAGGAAGATGGTGGCCAAATTAAAGCTATGGTGTTAGGATGGGGAGAAGTGGGAGGCCTGGAGGGATGAGTCAGCTGGGTCCTGAGCCAGTCCCGCATCCTCCTCCTTGGAGCCGCTGCCTCGTTTATTCTCCTCAACCTGGAGGAAGGAAAAGAACCCCACCACGTGGGGCTGGGAAAGGTGAGGGACTGATCTGCAAGGCTAAGTGAGAGGAGTTCACCATCCCTGTGAGCACGGACACTCACTCGGGCAATGCTTGTCCGATGAGATAAATCCACCTACACCTTTAAGCTGCACCTCCCCACGCAGGGCCCAGAAGGTCTCACCCTTGGATCAGTCCCAGGGTTCTGCCGCAAACATCTGCCAGGGCCAACAGCCCCCAGGGAGCAGAAACATAATGTGAACTGCATTTGGATGGGGAAGGCAGCAGGAGGGAATCTGGACTGTAGTGGAAATTGCTCAGGAATTTGGCTTCATGTCTCCGCTGATTCTTCCTAGACAATCACCTTAATGTGGGTACCTCCTAGTTACCCAGGCTTCAGGGAAGATTGGGAAGGGGGTGGATCATCCCAAAGGTGAATAAATTCAGAGACTATGTCTGATTATTCCTGTTGGGCTTTGCCAATTGGCTTCCCCCCACCCCTGCTGGGAAACTTGCTTCCCTAAGCAGGATTTTCTTTGACTATTTTTCAAAATTTACTCAGGATTTCCAGCCACAAGCAATGTTTCCTCCAAGATGACTGGGCTGAGCTTTATCCTGAGCTCCGTTCAAACCACACAGACAGCAAGCAGGGGTGGGGAGATGTGGCCCACTAAGCTGGCCCTGGGGGCAGGCACCCTTCTAGAGGAGTTGGTGCTCGCTGTGGACAAGCCCCATGGCGAAGAAACTACCAGCGAGGGCTCTAGTCTCTGGGACTGGTGCCCACTCATGTTGCCCAGTCCATTTTGGCTTACTTTGCAGACACGGTCACAGACGTGCTAAGCCTTTCGAGGTGGCTTGGTAAGAAGAGGGAGCTTGGATTATACGGGATCAGAGTGAGGGGTGGTGGCCTAGGTAAAGGCTGGCTCCCAAAATGGGTGGGAAGCTGGAGTCTGCTCTCAACTGCCAAGGGCTTTGGAAACTTCGGGTGCATCTAAGCCAGCACCCGTATCCCTGGAGAGCTACCAGCATAAAGACGCCAGACCCTACAGGTGGGGCTCAGGACCCTACAGCCTACAGGAGTCAGAGCCTTTTCCTGGGGTCCAAAAGAAGCTGAGGGAGAAGTATGGTTCCTTCGTCTGCGCCTGCGCCTGAGCCTGCGCCTGCGCACATCGTTCTTCTGGGCCCACTCACTGTCCAAAAGGCTCTGCAGCAAGGATTCATCTGTGTCTCAATTTTCATGGAAATGAAGCATTTTATCTCAGAACACAGGGGTAAGAGTGAATTCCCATTCCTTAATGCAGATGGACTAGATCTCCTTTCACTTTCTTACTTTAAAAAGGGAAATCCGAATGCCGCTGCCATTTGCTCGGTTGGATGCCAGCAGATAATTCTGAAAGCTGGGTGAATAGATCCAGAGCCAGGTTCCTTGCCGCAACCCGGCCTGATGCCACCCGAGCTGCCATAGCCTCCGATGGAGTTCGCCAGGGGACTCAGGGAGGACTGAGCTGGGTCACGAAGCAGCCTGACTTAGAGGAAAGCAAAGGTCTTGAGAAGGAGGCCTGAAACTCAGAGTCCAAAGCCTGGTGCCCTCAGGAAAGTTTGGGGAAACACTGTCCCAGGTCAGTCTGCAGTGCTGCTGTCAGCCCACAAAAGCCAGCCATCAACACGCTATGGCTACGCCACCCTGCCCAACACTCAGCAGCAACCCTGCTATCAACTGACCAAGGCAGGACTGCTCCGAGGTTCACCTGCAATCCCCACTGGAGATCCTTGGACTGGGTACTGATTGTGGCCCCGTGTTATAGACTGAGAAACTGAGGTCTGAGAGCTTAGGGGCCACACAACTCATACGTGGTAGAATCAAGAGTTGAATCCACAGCTTTAATTTCTGAGCGAGTGTTCTGCATTCCTACACTAGGCCATAAGTGATTCAATTTCCAGCCCACTATATCAGTCCTCTCTGCTCTGCTCCTTCTGTAAATAATACAGTTCATATGCCCTATGCTTTCCGGCCTTCTGGACTGTCTCCTTTACCTGCTCTGCCCCTCAGCTTTACCTCCAACTTTGCCATTCTACGCTGATTCTGTGTACACAAAAACACTTCCTACCCTCTCCTGGGCCCCTTTGGTATTTAGTTCTCCTTCGTTGTTTTTAAAGTACGTCCCCAGATCAGCAGCTTCAGCATGAGCTCCTACCTAAGACCTGCTGAATCAGAAACTGGGCACAGAGCCCGGTGATCTGTTTTAACAAGCCCTCCAGTGAGTCTGATGCATGACAGGCTTGAGAACCACTGGGCTCCCTCCTGCTTCTCTGGACCCCAACAAGTCTTGGCGACAATTAACGGTAAGCTCAGCTCTTGTGGTCTTGATGGGCCCGCCTTATTGGGTATATTATGGAGGGATCCTAAGTGGCTAATAAGGAAATGGGTGGAAGCTGATTTTTGGCTTTTGCTGCTGTTCCCACTCCACTACTTGCCATCCTGTTCTGGAACAGCTGCAAATTATCAGCACCCCCATTATCAGCACCCCCTCAGAGCCAGCTTTGATGGCCTCACTTACTGCCTCCCTGCCTCAGGTGAAGCCTGAGCTGTAGTCTCGGCCCAAAAATCAGCTGAGACCACCAGCATCCAATCTCAAAGAACCTCTCCAGATGTTTGTACCTGAACTGCCTGTACGGCTCCCTCCTGGCCTCTTCCCTAAGTGGTCTTATCAGCCCACAACCCACAGCCCAAGTCCTGAAGGTGAAATCTGACAGCTCTACCCTTCCCCGTGAGATCTCCAACTCTAATTATGGTGTTTTCTATTTCTCCCTTAAAATCTATTCATGTCCCTTTAAATCTCTTTCGTGTATTTGAAGCACTGATATTAATTGCATATGTGGTTATGATTGTTTTCCTTTCCTGATGAATTGAAATTTCTGCCATTATGAAACATAGCCCTCTTTCTTTGGCAATACTCTTTGTCTTGAAGTCTAGTTTATCTGATATTAATATAGCCTCTCCAGCTTTTGAAATATATATCATTTTCATCCATTTATTTTCAACTTATTTGTGTCTTTGTACTTAAAGTACATCTCTTGTAGACTGCAAATAATTAGGTCTTTAAAAAATCTAGTCTGACAATCTTTGCCTTTTAATTGGAATGTTTGGTCCATTAACATTTAATGTAATTATTGATATGGTTGAATTTAGTTTTATTTGCCCCCTCTGTTTTGTATTTCTCTGTTCCTCCTTCCTTGTTTTCTTTGGGATTTTTGGAATTCCATTTAACTTTATCTATTGGATTTGTAGCTATACCTCTTTGCATTAATTCTTTAATGATTGCCTCAGGGATTAAAATACATCCTTAACTTTTAACAGTCCACTTAGAGTTACTATTTCAAGTAAAATGTAGAAATTTTGCAGCTACAGAGGTTTATTACCCCCTACTCTTTATGCTATAGTTATCATATGTATTACATCTACATACATTATAAAACCCACAAGAAAATGTCATAATTTTTGCTTTAAACCACCATGTAAATTTCAGAGCAATTAAGAGGTCTTATTGCCAAAGGGAATCTCATAATTAGGGGAGGCCTTTCTCGGGAATCTGACTCAGCTCATGGTTCATAAAGAAAACCTAGATCTTTCGATTTACAATCACTCCCTTCAAGTGAAGATGAGTTTTGGGGCCACAGGACAGAACCACAGCTGATTCACCCTTCATTGTGACTTTATTGGTCCAGGGATTAGCTCAGTGGTTCCGCCGCCTGCCTCACAAACGAAGGTCCCGAGTTCAATCCCCAGTACCAAAAAAAAAAAAGTGACTTAATCGGTCATCAGATCTCCTGGAACCTGATCATCCCAAAGTCCTTTCCTCTATTTCCCACAAGTCCTTCGCATTCAGACCTGAGGATCCAGAGTGAAAATGCAGAGTAAGCCTCACCTGTGTCCTGCCTGCCTCGGCCTCCCTCATGGAGTACTTTCATGTTTTTACTGGTTGTGTCTTTTCCCCACCCCTCCTCCTAGGTTATAAATGCTGAGGGTAAGGATCTGGTCCAAGACATAGAAGGTGCTCAGACAACATTGTTGAATGAGCACATAAGCCCCGTATGCATTTCCTGGCCCCTCGGAGGGTGGTGGGGTACAGAAGGGAGAGGGCTGAGAGAGAAGGCGGTACACATGTGTCTGTCTCTGGAGTGGTGGAAAATTGTTTCCAGGGGTAGGAAGTATAGCCAAAAACATCACTGTGGGTTGCTGGGGGGGTCGCAGAGAGCTCAGGGTTGACTCTGATGAAATGTAGACGTGGGAGTTGAGTATGGGAAGGCTCCAGAGTAGAACGGGGAGTATCTCAGGCCAGGATGTATGGGTGGAGCCAGGATTTTTAGCATGCTCACGTGTACCTGGAGGAAGTGTGTGCTGGGCCACCCGGAGGTGCTGACACTGCAGCCTCGAGGGCTGAGCATTTTAGAGAAACCACTGGTCTAGTGACAAGAAGAATGAAAAAGCCACCAGAGCCTGGGTAAGCACGGGGCTGGTCTTTGGGGCTGCAGGCATTGTTGTAAGGGACAAAGGAGGTAATCCATCTGGATACTTCTAGGAGGCATGTGGGGGACAGGGCGTAGACATGGGGTTGATCAGAAAAGGCCCTTTGTCTTAGAAGAAGAGGCCTTGAGATTGTAGCTTAACCCAAGCCTCAGAAGGAAGTAGGGTGTCCTGGCCAGATAGGGTCTCCCCAGGGTCAGCATAGAGGAGGCAGCCACCACTGGAAGGAGGTGAAACTGGGAGCACCTCTGAGTCATGCCCTCAGCCCTGCCAAGCTATTTGAATAACATGAGACCTGCAATACCTAATTCTGTAGGAAATGTGATAATCAAGTGATGGGGCAGATTTTGCATGTGGCTTATAGAAAAGCTGAGGAGGAGGAGGAGGAGGAGAGATGGAGCAGGAATAAGCCACAGCATGTTTCAGACCATAAGAGCCAGTTAGTTAGCCAGTCTGCTGGGCACTGCCAGCTGGGGTGAATGGAGTGCGTGTTGTTCCAAGGCAGGGGGGAAGTGAGTGACCATTATTTTGAGTGAGGAATTTATATCCAACCTGGAGTGAGGTTAAACAAATCTTCAAGTGAGACTTGACCTGTTATAAAAACCTTAAGTGCTTGAGGCCCACTCCAGGAGGGGGTGGGAAAGGCTCGACCGCTTGTGAGACCTACTGTGTACACATCCCCACAGCAAGCTGACCACAGGAGGGTGATACTGCCACTTTGTAGGCACTAAAAGCTCAGGGTATTGTGAGATGTCTAGGTTACTGGAATTTCACTATTTTACAACACAGAATAGCTGGCTCTTCACTGCATGAAACTTCTCTGGGATACCATGTGGTCAGCATGATTGTAAAAAGCTTAGGACTAGGCCTTCCATTTGGTTTCTGGGGATTCAAGCCAAGCCAAGTGTGAATCGTTCCCCCCAAGGAAATGCCAGAGTATTGAGAAATGTGTTTTCCTCTCAATACAGTCCGACTGCAGCTTCCCTTACCTACATCCACGGTGACTGCCATTTCTAATGGAGTAAGTGGTTGGGCAAGCTAGATCTTTGCAGAATTCAAAGCGATTCCAAGAAATCCTGAAAGTCAGCCTCCTACAGGTGGTCTTCTTCAAGCAGGGAGTATGGAGGCCATGGCCCCAAACCATCCTCTCTAGTGATGGTCTCTCGGCTCCTAGACAAATGTGCTGAGCTCTTTCTTGGCTGCAGCAGCTGATCCAAGGCTTTATGGTGGCCTGGCTTCTCTGCTCCCTAGGGTGGACAGCAGGCCTAATCCCGGTCTTTATGAAATGGGTTTTTGCCTCTGGCGGACAGTGCAGGTGCAGCACGACCTGGTCGTGGAAGGATGTCCCTTCCTGAGCTCTACAATGTGAACAGTTCTCCCCGGACACCTGGAAGTTTAGGTGGGTCCATACTGCTCGACATTAAGTGTGGACTTTAAAACAAAAGGACTCCTGAATTCTTCGTGAAGAGCCAAATCCCAGGAAGAGTCCACTACAACTTCATTAAAAAGCAAAAGTAAGTATTTTGCCTAATTACAGGCGTATAACATGGCTGCCTTTCTGGATCGAGCACCCCAGCCGTGCTGCCCCTGGAGTCTCCCCGTGTTGTCAGTTCCTGTTCTGTTCATCAGTCCAAGTTGCAGGGGCCAGGAGACCCTGTTCCTGTTCCCTACCTGATGGTTATATTGTTAATGCTTGGCCGCACCCGTGGCACTTGGCTCCTGAGAGCGTCCCCACTGCCAGTTTCCCGCGTGCTTCTCACCCCATCACTCATCTCATCACCCTACAGCTTCCTTCACGAAGCTCCAGCAGCTAGTTCCTTGCAGTATCCTCTCTTGGGGCTCCAGTGGGACTCAGCCTCCTTCCGGCCCAGGCCACCTTACAGCCCTCAGTTGCTTGGACCGGGTCATCATCACTGTGCAAATCTCCTGGCGATAGAGCCCTTCGGCCACGTGTGGTGGTCAGGACCAACAGCTGGCGTGTCAACACCTGCATGGCTATTCGGGTAACTGCATACTTATTGTTTCCCATTACACGTCAGTCTCGCCTCTGAGGAGTTATATATCTCAAATGCTTGGTCTCTCGGAAAAAATTCCTTCAGCACAGCATTATTACACTAATTGTCACAACCACCCTGAGCCATTAATTCAAAAGTGTCATTATTATAGCTTTAATAGCCAACCAATATCAATGTGTTTTAATAATTAAGATGGTTAACGATGATTCATTATTAAGTTATCAGTCTGTGCCTCTACTCAGCTCCCTGAAGTTTTTGCAAGTGGCACTTAACTGACAAGTGGCCACACCATGGAACTCTGACCTCTGCGTGGCCACCGACCCTTTGGTTTTTGTTTGGCACTGAATGCTCATCTTGTGCCCCAACATCCACTACTTCCTGTGTGTCCTCATCGTGACTCGGGTCACCTGACTGTGACAGGCTCCCACAGATGGCTCACACCGGTGCGGGTCAGCGGGGACCCAGAAGAACAAAGAGAGGAGAGGCTCGCTGTTTCAGAGGCGGGACTGTGCTGTGCCTTCAGTGTGGGCCCCACATGGCTGGATTCACACAGTAGTACAGCCACCTATGGTTCAGTGTGCAGGCCCTGGGAGGAGGTGGAGGACCGGACAGGCCATTAGAGAGGACGAAGCGCTGGCTGTGGTACTCGCGCCCTCTTATGAGGTCCTCAGAGTACATTACGGATGATGACGCCGAATCCTGGAGAGGGCACATGACTCATCTGCAGCCATGGAACCCGGAAGAGAACATGGGTCCTTTCTAGCCAGGGGATTTCTGTTTGTTTTTGTTTTGTTGTTCTTCAGGTTTCTTACTTGTTTTCTGAAATGAGGAAATAAAACTAACTTTCTTCTTTGTCTGGGGGGATGCATATGACTGGCCCCTAATAGCCATGAGGCAATCATACCAGCCAAGTGGCTCTGGGGCACTGACACAAACACTCTCTCTGCTTTCCAGAGCCCACGAATGCGGGTAGAGGAGGCACTGAGCTGGGACCAGAAGAGCGGATGGAATCACTTGCGAAACACTAATAAATCTGCTGGCCCAGCTGTTCCTCATCTGATGATTCTGCAGGGAAAGTGTGAAATGGTAGAGATGTCCATGGGCCTGGGGGAGCCCTTCAGAGGCAAACAGTTCTCCCAAAGCCCCTGAAGCTGGGGTGGGAAGCATCTGGAAATATCTGAGGGGCACTCACTGGTGTCAGGAGGCCTGGGCCCCCAGAGGCCGCATACATGCATGGGGTGTGCCTGGGAACACAAGGGGTGGCCAAGTCCCATCTCCCAGAGCACAAGAACAGAGCAGAGATAGACCTGAGTTCAAATCCTGCACCACTGTTGGCTGGCCCAGGGAGCCCCAGGGAGATAGTTAATTTCCCTGAACTTCATTTCTGTCCTTTAGAAACTGAGGCTAATCCTCCTCTGCCCCAGGGTGCTGTGTGGATTAAATGTGCTAATGTATGTAAAGCTGTTGGCTCAAGAAGGTGCTGGATGTTCTTTCCCCTTCCTTTTCTTTCTGTTCCTCTCCCCTGGAATGGAGAAGGGGCTGGACCTTGCTAAGCCCCGCACATAGGGTAGGATGTGCATGGGGTTGGCAGGGAGCAGGCCCTGGGGGAGACCAGAGACTGCAGAGCAGCACCCCCTCCTGTGACCTTGACCGCTCTCCATAGGCAGGAGCTGCAATGCCAAATCCTGGAGTGCTGAGTCCAGCTTGAACTAACGGCTTCCAAAGAATGATTGGCAACAGGCAAAGACTCTGTGTGGCTGAGATCTCTACCCCAGGGAAAGCGCCTTCCATGGGTTCCAGCTTCTCATTTCCCCAGAGCTCAGGGCTCAGTCCTCCCAGAAGACAAGTTCAGCCTTGGAGAACAGGCCTATGTAGCCCAAGGGGACCTGCGGAGCTGCAGGGTAGACAGCTATGAGCATCCTGGACAATGAAAGATCACACGGAATGGGGCCTGCCTGGGCTCTGTGCCCAAATGCCAGTTCTCCGGGGCCGGGAACTGTCCTGGATTGGAACCAGATTGTGTTAGGTTCAAGGCCCGGCTGGAGATCCACAGGCAAGCCAGGCAGCCCCTCCATGGAGCTTGTCTGTAAAATGCTAGCATACTGCAGGGTGTAGTGGTGCACACTTGTAATCCCAACTTGGTGGGAGGCTGAGGCAGGAAGATTGCAAATTCAAGCCGAGCAGGAGTGAGTTGAGTATTTAGCAAGACCTAGGAGTTCAGTTCAAAGGCCCTGGGCTCAATCCCCAGTACTACCAATCAATCAATCAATCAATCAATCAATCAACCAAAGCCAGCACACCTTGCTCAAGCCTGTGCATTGCTGAGACCCTCTTCCTATGCCCAGGCCTGAACTCCACATATTGGTTCCCCTTTGCTTTTCCTCTTCCCTTGTGTCACTGGCCTCTTTCCACTCTAAATGTCTTCTCGGCATGTTTTCCAGTCCCAGAGCTTTTGCTCATCTCTTTCCCACTCACAGCAGAAGTGAGGAAGCTGGAGGAAAATGCCTGCATCTCAGACCAGAGGACGCTACACTCCAGGCCCAATCACACCGGGCTCAGCCTTGGGCTTGCAGCTCTTGGGAAGATCTTGGCAGTGACCTCAGCTCCTCCTCTTTCCTTCTGCCTGGAGCTTCTGCCTGGCCCAGTTAGGGAAAGGAGTCAGCAGAGCGGGCTGAGCCAGTGAGCAGAGGTGGTCACCCATATGAAACAGACCGGTGGACGCTACTGGAAATAAATTCCTTAGTGGCAGAGAAATGGGGGAAGCCAGTCATCCCCTCTGCTCCCCTCCCCACATCAGGCCAGAAAGGAAGTCCTTCCTCATATCTAACTTACATCCGTCCTGCTGCAGTCATTACCTAGTTCCTTTAGGTGCAAGTGGAACAATGCCCTCCTCGTCATCCCTCCACTGGCACCTCAGCGGGCCTCTCCTCAATTGTGTTCAGCTAAAAGCCTCAGGGGAGTGAAAGTGAACTTTAAGAGGATGTTTAAAGTTTGGCTTCTCATCACCACATCTCAGCTGAGTCCATAAAACCGCCTTATAAAGCCCACTGGCCAGCCAGCTGCCCTCAGCCTCAGGGGCCTCCCTGTTTTATGATCAGCCCCAATTCAGACGCCAGCTGGTTGCAGGAACTCGGCTGGCTTTTATGAAGAGATGTTAACAAGAAGCATCTCTTCCCCTCTGTCTTGCTCCAAAGCCCCTCTCTCTGCCTTATTCGTGTGCTCCAGCACTCAGGAGGATATGCAAGCTCTTCCTCCAGCCAGGCAGCTCAGGTAAGCCAGAGTGAGTGGAGTCAGGTGGCTTGGGCAGGGAGGGCCGGCCAGAAAGGGCCTGGTGGCCCTGCAGGAGCCCTGCACAGGGCAGGGGCGGAGGGAGGAGGGGCGGTGGCCCCACTGCAGTAGCAGGATCACACTGCATTTTCAGTGTTTGTAAACTGCTCAGTAATTGTGAAACAGTGTTGAGAAAACAAACAATTACCAGGCGGCCTGATAAGAGCTACTGTGAGGTGTGCTTAGGGGGCCGGGAAAGCAGGGAGGAGCCTTCAGTTCCACTCAGGGTCAGGGGAGCCTTCCTGACACAGCTGCCCCACGCTGTTGCCTAGGCACACTTAGGAATTTTCAGAGCAGGCCAGGTGGGGCAGGTGGAGGGTCTGGTGGGCTCTCCTTTGCCGAAATACAGGCAGTGAGAGGTAGGGAGTTGGAGTGGGGATTCTGGCCAAAAAAAATTACAGGAGCAGCTCAGAGAAGTTGCTCAGGACTCAGTCTGTCCACCTGTCAAATGGAGACGGTGTGGGTCAGCCAAAAGAAAAGCCAGCAATAACAGTAGCCGGTGAGCGTGTGCAGTCCTGTGTCCTTTCCCACATGAGAAATCCCTCAGCGCATACAGTAATAACCTTGCAAGGTCGGCAGGGTGAGAATTTTAATTCCTCTCTGGCAGATGAAGAAGTGGAGTCTAGGAAAAGTGAATGACTTGCAGCTTTGCCACAGCCAGCACGTGGAAAGGCGGCGCTCCTGTTCGAAAGCTAGAGGGCCGGATGAGAGTCACCTGATAAGGGCTGAGAGCGACGGGTGGGGTGCAAGAGAAATGAAAGGTTCTTTCTCAGCAGCATGGGCCGTGACTGTACCCTACTCCTCTCAGGTTGCCAACTAATACAAAAAGGGGGCTTGCAGGGAGTGAGGAGACCCGGACAGGGCTTGAGGAGGGGCGTGTGAAGAAGAACAGCACCCTGGGCAGAACTGCACTCGCAGGGGCTCTTAGCACAGGGAGAAGAGGCTGGGGAGGAAAGAGCCAGGGTCAGCTGGACTGGACCGAGGGTCGTCTACCGGCTAGACTGGGGGCATCCGGCTCTGACACCCATCCCTGGATGTCCCAGAGGGAGGTGCCTTTGCACCTTCCTACTTCCCCATCCTTTATTTGCAGGTGAAGCGGTGGGGACGAGGGAGGTAATCTGTACCCAGATGCCCCTTTACAGCCTGGTGTCAGAATGGAGGGTCAGAGGGGCCACACGGTCAGATACACTTAGTCATGTCGCGTCGCAGTGTCCAAACACGTGCACAGACCTAGACAAACCACTGAAGCGTCACACCCTGCTTCTCTGGGTTCTCACAAGCGAGAGCAGTGCCGAGGGTGATTTACAGGCTTTTTTTTGTTTTTATTTTTCACTACCAGGGATCAAACTCAGGACCTTGCGCCAGTGAGGCAGGCACAATGCTGCTGGACTAAATCCCTGCCTGATTCAGGGTTTTTACACTCATATTCACAAGCACACCACCACCAGGGCCACGACCAAATCCAAGGACCCAACACTCAGGCACATGGATATGCACGGGACAGGGAATAGTGTCGTACATGCAGCCCAGGGCCTAAGCTAGGGACCAGAGAGCTCAGGAGCTGGTAAGGGTCCCCCAGAGGGGCTTCCCCTGAGCTGTCACTCTGCTCGCACCTCTGCAGATAGGAGCTGACCTGATAGGGACCCGGTTCCCAAACCTTATCTCCAAGCCCCCTCCTCCCCTACAATCCTTCCAGAATCCATCAGGGCCCTGGCACTCAGCGGGGCTCTGTTAATATTTACCTCTCCCCTCCCCCTTCGTGCAGCAACCTAGGGCCAGAGAGTGTGGGGTTAGGAAGAGCCACCTCATCCCAGGCCCCCTGACCTAGGATGGGGGACTGGCTGCCATCTGAAACAGGAAACCGGAAACATGAGCTAGGGCCTCCCTTCCAGGCCTAGGGCCCTGAGGAGGAACAGGAGGCTTGTCCTGGTCAGCAGGCTCCTCACTGTGTCTCTGCCCATGCAGGCTGGCAGAGTGAGCACATGCACGCGCACGCGCGCGCGCACACACACACACACACACACACACACACACACACACACGCTCCCCCCGCAGCTGTAATTAGAATGGTTGCTCCAGCACCCGGAATCGGCTGTGATTTATGAATGGGAGTTGGTGCAGAGAGATTCCAGCACCATCTGCTTGGGAGCAAACAGGAAGTGCTTCAACATGCAGCAGACCTGGGGGAGGGAGCCCATTGGTGTAACAGGCTCATAAAAGCCTTCCTAATGGCCACAGGTGCTCTGACACCCTGCTCCCCAGCCCCCACCCCCAGGGGAGAGCTGGCTTTCTGCACAGTCACAGCCTGGCCCAAACCATCCAGGAAATACCTGGCTGTTTACAACCTGGGTCAGTTTATTCATCTATAAAATGGGCATGATGGCCACAAAGAGCGATACTGCATGAGACATTTACCACATATCTGACAAGGTAAGACTGCCCCATGGTGCCCTTAGAGCTGATTAAAGCTACCACAGTGAGCGGCAGGCCAGGGCTGGGCCCAGGAACAGCTTACCGTTGCAGGATTAATGGAAATAAATAGTGCAAGCTCCTGGCATACGATGGGTGCCTGGTATGCAGTTGTTTTCTTCTTTCTGGGTGTCCAGTTCTGGAAGCTGAAAGCAGCGGACAGGGGAGCAGGCCCAGGTCCCTGGGATTGCACTCAATACCTTGAACAGCAGCTCCTGAGGAGTTTAGAGTTACAATCCACTGTGGCCAATAAAAAATGATCCGACACCTTTTGGCCTGTCCAATTGCCCTTGGATCGCATGGTGATTCTTCTGGGACCATTTATATGACCGCCTGAGTATACCTTTTTTGTTATCACTTTGTTAGCTCCATGATGCATTTTGCTAGGTCTCTAAACCCTGGTTCCCACTATGAAGTAAGATCCTTACCTAATAGGGGAATATCTGGTCAAATGGAATTCCTATTTTAGTTTTTTGAGCAATCTCCATACTGATTTCAATAGTGGTTGTACCAGTTTATGTTCCTACCAACAATGCAGAAAGATTTGTTTTTCCCCACAGCCTTGCTAGCATTTGTTATTATTTGATTTTTGAGGGTGATAGCCATTTTTTTCTGGAGTAAATGGCCTATCAACAGATGAATGGATAAAGGAAATGTGATATCTATACACAATGTATACTCTGCTATGAAGAAAGATAAATCTGAGTCCTTCGTAGGAAAAATGAGATACCTTAAAACCATACGATTAAGAGAAATATATCAGACATGCAAGCTTATAAACAAAATGAAAGGCAGATAATAGGAAACAAGGAGATAGGTCTTTTACAAATGGGAAGGGGACCAAGAGATGGAGAGAAGGAGAGGTAAAAAGAACAAAGATATTTCATGTACACATGCCAACTCTCCATGATGAACATAATCATTTTGTATTGCAAAGGCAAGCTAAATTAAAAAAAAAAAAAAGATTGAGAACCATCAGAGGTTTCTAAAGGTTAAGAAGTCCTGACCATCCCTGCACCCACCACCTTGTATCAGAACCCCTGGGGGAGGCCTATGCAATCTTGGAAGTTTCTCTGGGTGGCTTCAGAACACTACTGCTCCTCCAGCCTGCCCCATCCTGCCTGAGGACCAAGGTCTTCCCTTTCCAGGTCCTAGCCCTGGAGATCCAGAAATCCATCAGGATCCACTGATGCTATGACCAGAATATGAGCCCTTCCCTACAGAACCCTGTCTTATCGTCCCCGTGACCCTATCGTAGGCCCGGCCTCCAAGAATGGAATCTTCTGCCAAACACAGACCTGTAACAACCACCTGAAGGACTGGTGGAAAGAAATGCTAAATGGAAAGAACAGCAGAGGATCTTGCCAGCAAAGTCACTGACACAGAGAAGGGGATGAGGAAGGAGGTGATGCCCCCTTGGCTGGGCCTTGAAAGGCTGAGCAGGACTTTGATAGCAGGCAAAAGGAAGCAGGTATTTCAAAGGGGTGGGCTGCCATGTACCTGACACCATGATCCTCAGCGAGGTCGTCATACTCAACCCCTCTTTGTGTTGGTTTAACTTCCATGCAAGTTGGAAGATAGAAATGCTCTTCGGGGAGATGGAGAGCAGGTAGAGGGATCCCAGAGTGACCCCACACTTTCACTATCCCAAGCTGCAGTCAGAGCTTTTCTGTCCTGTGTCTATGGCCCGTTTCTCAGAATACACCGGGGCCACCGTGCATAGAGATGGCAATCCACCCACGAGCTCAGGTCCTGCCGTCTGATCTGGGAGAGCAGTCTATTGTGCATACTCCAAGATCAAGTAGTAGCTTTCAGGCTCAGTGAACAGTTGAACTCAAGGAAAGAGCGGTCGGAGGGGCCTGGCCGCAGGAGGTGGCAGCCGGCTAGGCCGGAGCGTCGGCATTCCTGTGCCTCCCTCTGCCATCCTGCCCATTGCACTCCCTCTCCCACTCCAGTCAGACCTCCAGGTTCCCACCGTCCAACCCTAACACCCTTCACCCAACCCGGCTGATGTCACCCATGCATCCAGAGGCAACCCAACCTCCTTTGAGGATTAGGGCTCCATATTTTTCCTCTGCTCCCAACTCCTGCCACCATCGGGTAACCTGAGTGGCCACAGGACATGCCAACATCCTCACATCTTGGCTCCTCTCTTTCACCATCTCCCCTGATCTCTCCACCTCAGCCACCCACGAGTCACCTGGCTCGCCTTCTATAGAACCTTACGTGCCGGCGTCCCTGAGTCTGGCTACGGTTGTTTTCCCTTCTTCACGTGAAACCGGGTCTCCAGTTCTCCCATTCCGTCATTCAGCTGTGGGACGCGAGTGCTAGCTCTGGACAGGGCATCCTGCCAGGCTGTCAGCTCCCTCCTGGCTCTACTTCCCCCCCTATTGACTTGTCCGAGATTGGCCACATCACTCATTCTCCCTGGCACCCTCCATTCCCACACCCCTTGGCCTTGCCTTTCCCAGCCCTGGAGGATTCCAGTCATCTGCTTTCCCCATCACGATTCTCAGACTACTGGGAGGCACAGGAAAGTCACCCAACCATGCAAACTGGTGCCACTCCGATTTATGGTCCCTGACTCCAGTCCGGCCTGCAGGCTACCGGGCCCCTGGTGGTCAGCTCCTGTTGCAATCCTTTTACCACCCTTCCAGGCTTCTGGCCCGCCCCTCCCTCACCTATAATTGCCAGAGAAAATAGACATCCTCAGGCCAGCGCTCTCCTGACTTCCCTTTACTCCTCTTGCCTGCTGATCACCCAGCCCCTCCTATCTTCAGCATCTTATTTTCATTCGGAGGCCGCCCAGCCCTGGTGGCCTTGCTCCTCCCTCTGGTGTTATAACATCTACTCTTTTTCAGATCTCCTGCCACTCTGGGCATCCCTGCCCTGTCTCTCACCTGCTTCTCGTCCTCTGCCCACTGTCTCCGCATTGGGGCTCCCTAGGGCTCCATGGTCTCTGGCCCTGCCCTGCCCCTGCACCCCAAGCATTCTCATCCAGACTCACGGTTTCTTGCTCCCATAGCGCTAATGTCCGTGGCTCTGAAGCCCTAGCACTACATCCTGGTGTCCTGGATAATGGTCTGTGCTGTAGGCCTGTCCCCAACAAGGCCTCTTCCTCCTCCTCCGGCAGCCCCCGGGTCAGTTACAGCATCACTACCTGCAGCTCCTTCTCTATCTACCCTTACCTCCTCCACCTGCCACACCACCTACTCCTTGCTCTGCCTATTTCCCACTTTGGGACTTCAGTCAAACTTCCTGCAATGGCCCACCTGGGTCTTACACAGGACATGTACCTTGTCTGTTCTTTCTGCCTCTCTCCCTGCCCACCCCCACCCGAATGCCTTCTGGACACACTGGAGCTGCACCCTTGCTGAGACCTCCATCCCTTCCTCTGCCTCCACTGGGAAACTGTTTCGCCTCCAAAAGCTAATTCAGAGGTCCTCACCCACCCCAGCCACCCCAGGTGCTCCGACAGAATGTACTGTTTCCCGAGTGTACAGTTGTTGGATACTGGTTGGTTCCAGTTTGGAGCCTTCATAAGCAGTGCCTGCTATGAGCACTCCTGCATGGATTCACCTCTTGGGTCCTCATGCCTGCGACCCGATTACCTGAATACTGGCCAGGATGTTTTAAAAGAACTTGACAACTCCTCTTCCAGTCTTCACCAACTCCTGGCTGAGCAGACTTCTATTTCCACTACCGTGGCGAGCGTGTTAGAGGCTCTCACTGGGACTCTGACTGCCATTTCTTTAGTTCCTAACAAGGTCATATACCTTCTCTATGCATCTAGTGGCCATTTGGATTTCTGCGTATTTAATGATTTGATCCAGCTTTCCCAGTGAGTTATCAATTTCCTTCATACTCCTTTGTATTCTTTACACATTCTGGAGATAGCCCTGTGTTGGTTGCATCATAAAATCCTCTCCCACCTTGTAACTTCCCTTTTCCTTTTTTTAACAGTGTCTTTTGAAGAACATAACTTTTTTTTTATTTTAACAAACTTGAATAAACACAGATGTCTATTCAGTACTGGCAGTTTAACCCAGGGCACTTACACTGAACTATATCCCCAGCCCTTTTTTACTTTTTATTTTGAAATACAGTCTCACCAAGTTCCCCGGGCTGGGTTCAAACTTGTAGTCCTCCTGCCTCAGCCTCCCAGAGAGCTGGGGTTGCAGGTGTGAACCACCATGCCGGGTTTGAATTTATCAATCTTTTCCTTTTTGCTTATGTTCTTTTTGAGTGTTGTTTAAGAAAACTTTCCCTACCCCTGGGTCATGGAGATATTTTTCTACATTATCAGGGAAAAGCTCTGTTGTCATGCTTTTCACATTTAGATCCACGCCCCACCTGGAAACCCACAGCATTTGGCGCTTCTGTAGAGCCACTAACCCCATCTGTTTATGTTTCTACCTCCGGGGATAAACAAATATCTCCTGGGCCGGGGATTTAGCTCAGTGGTTACGAAGACCCGAGTTTGATATCCGGCAACAACAACAAAAAAAAAGCAGCACAAAAACAATATCTCCTTTGGGGCAAAGCACAAGTGCATATTTTAAATCAGAGGCCCTCACACAGCTCCTGGCACACAGTAGGTGCTCATTAAATGTCCCTAATGCCTGAGCCAGCTCCTAATGCCAGCACCTTCCAAAGAGAGCTGTCTTCTCTTCTTGAGCCCCCCACCCCATAACTCCTGCTAACTCCTGCTAACAATCATGGACAAGCGCAGGGTAAGCACCTACTGTGTACAAGCACTGGGTACTGTCCCAGTAGTGTGCAGGTTGGGACTCAAGAACAGCCAAAGACGTGAAGCCTTGGCCTCTCAGGAGCTCATCAGCTGGCCCCGAGATTCCTCACACTGGCCAGAGGCCACGCGCTGATTTGGGAACTCAGAGCATGGAGTCCAGATCCCCTTTCTCACCTGTGCAACTCTGGGCAAGTCACTTCCGCAGACTGGACTTCCGCTTTCCGCTTGGTTAAGAGCGAAGATGACAGACACCCTCCTTGGTTGCTGTGAGGATGGGACGAAACAGAAAGAGAAAACTGCCCAGCAGGTGCGAGAGGAGACCATGCCAGGTGTCCGGAGCTTGTTAAGTGGAGCCAGAGATGCAATAGATGAGTAAGTGAACGGGGGAGGCAGGAAGGGGAGACACAATCAGGGGCAGGGGAAGAGGGGCAGGAGGTGGGGCTTCGTGAAGGGCTGTTAGCGGCCTCCTCCTAGAAACTGCTGTCAGAGAAGGTTTCCCAGACAGGAATCCCCTTCAGGGCTCCCTGCCCCAACCCACTGCATTTGTTGACTCAAAACCTCCCCACTGCCAATTTAGCCTGAAGTAAGGAAGGGGGTGGGGAGGAGGGAGAGGTGTGGGAGGGGGTGGGACTCTACAGAAAGGGGTCTTTGTCTGAGCACTGTGTGGCATTTCAGATTCAACAGAGTTGGTTGTGTTTTTTTCTCTTCTTTTAACCTCCTGAAGAGTTGAGTGGGCTGTCTTTGCAATAGGAGGGATCTAAGCTAGACAGCAGGAAGGACTTCCGGAGGGCCGTCTGTGTCTGTGTCGGGTGGGAGAGCAATGGAATGGGCTGAGGCCCCAAGGAGTCCACCTGAGGCTTAAGCCCAGATGCAGGGTCACCGTCTCTGTGGAGAGGCTGTGCGAGCTCAACCCTGAGATCCCTCAGCGGCTCCCCTCCCTGCGGAAGTGAGAGACCCCCAAGTTCAGCCAGAACTTCTAGTCAACAGCCTGGGGAAGGGGGTAAAGAAAAAAAAGTGAGAAGAGAAGGAAAAATGGAAACAAATCTTTTATAAATAAAGAAGGGAAGAAGGATTAAAGGAAGGGAAGGGGAATGGGGACAAAAAGAAGAATCAAGAGACTCTGGGCTTCGAGGCTTGGCCCGGACCTAGTATCGCACGCTATTCTCTGGCTTAGGCTTCCTCTTCTTGCTCCTGTTGGGGCAGCGAGGGACTCTGGGGGCGGGGGTCAAGGCTGGACCCCACTTTCCCTGACCCACAGAGCCCTCCCTGCCTCACTGCTAGGCCGTTCCTGTCCCCCGACTCCCACATCACAGCCACGGATAGCAGACTTTCTGGTAGGCCCTGGCCCCCGCCACCCTCCCCAGCACCAGCCCAGGGCCCCTGTGCCCCTCCACACCCATCTCTAGCAGTTTCCTGGCTTCCCTCACATTTGGTCACGTGGTCATCGACCTCCCTCAGGGCCCCACGCCACTGTCTGTCCCGTCCGCGTTTCCTCTCTCTCGCCCTCCTGCCTTACTTCTCTCTCTGCCTGCCTCTTCCTTCCTACAACCCTGCTTCTACCTCAGCCTGTGTGTGTGTCACTCTCTCAGCTCTCTCCAAATCCCCCCACCTCTCCCTCCCTGGAGTTGTAGGGGAAGGAAATCTCTCCTCTACGCTCTGGTGAAATAAAGGGGCACGGACAGCCGCATTCCTCAGGGATACACGATGTCACAGGAAAGACCAGTGGGGCCTGACAGAGCTGGTGCCTCCTCAGGAGAAGGGGAGGGTAGGAAAGAGGACCAGAGGACAGACCGCTCAGTGACAAGTCTGCCTGTGACAAGTCTGTCCAGCCCTGACTGAGGAGACTCTCAGGGGGGACTCAGAACTGTGGGTTCCTTTCTGAGGCCTTGTGCTGAGGCAGCTAAGGGGAGCTTGGGGAAGGCCGTCCACCCCACCCCATTATCCCTGCTTTTATCGCTCCGCAAGGACAAGCACCCTCCATTCTTTCAACAGGCCAGTGTCAAAGCCAGATCCTGCCCAGCCACCAGGCCACCTGTCCCAAGGCCCCCATCTCTGGCATCGCCCCTGGGAATAGCTGCCAGGTAAGAGCAGGCCTTGTGGCCTCCAGCCCTGACTTCGCCTAGCACTGGCTGAGGGCTCCAATCTTCCTGCCCCGGTCATAAACTCAAGACCTACCCCCACCTCAAGTCCCAAGCTGAGCCCTGACAGTGAGCCCAGCACCCCTCAGAGCTCCACGGGGAGCACCACAGTGAGAGCTCCACCCACCTTGTCCATAGAACAAGGGGACCCACTTTGTACATGCAGCATGGTGTGGGTGGCACAAGGCAAAAGCATCTAGCCCCCGACTAAACTCCCAAAGGAAAGGAGACCGAGTGTATGGTGGAGAGGTTTGGTCTGAGCCACACAGGGCTGCATCAAATGAAGAAGACAAGAATCTGTGCTCAGAGAGCGGGACCTACGCTGGTGAAGCTCTGGGTGGGAGGAGAATGAAGGGATCCCTGGGACAGCAGCAGTGTGAGGCAGGAGCTAAGGTTTATGCAAGCACTCGAGAGTACAGAGATTGAAAGGCATCCACACGGTGGTGGGCGGGAAGAGGTAGAAGTCTACACAAGCGACAGTGACATCTGAGTGAGGTTCTGGATTCATTCAAGGTGAGGGGAAAGGCATTTCAGGCCAAGGAGTAGGTACGTGTCTACGGAAAGAGGCACAAGGGTTTGGGAAGATGCCGGCTCCATTGTAGGGGGGGGAGTCAGCGCAGAGGGACAAGCAAAGGAAGGAAGGTCCCAGGGTGCCACCCACTTCAGGACTGGACTCGATGGCAGCTGTTTGGGGATGGCCTGGCAGGAAGGAAGACTCAGGACAGGGAGGTCAGCTAACAGCTACGGCAGTGATCCTGGCAAGGCCCACAGAGGGGCAGGCCAAGCTCGCATTCATGAGGCTGGGAACAAGAGGACTGTTGCAGGGCATCTTCTGAGGAAAACACAGTCAAGGAAGAGGCCCGGGCTGACTGACGCTTCCGGCTCAGGGAGGAGGTAATGCTGGGTGAAAAGACCTCATGCCTGTTGGTTTGGGGGACGGCGGGGCTTCCTGGGCAGAATGCCCTCCTGCTCGTCCTGATGGCTGGGTGTAAGGTGGAGGCCTAGAGAGAGCTCAGGGGCACAGGCAGTGGGCAAGGTAGGCAGAGAGCGAGCCTGGGTCGGATCTATTTATGGCTGGATCCAGCTGCAAGCGAGAAAGGGTAAGAAACAACTTAGGAAAGACACTGCCTCCCCTGAGTCCAGCTGCTGCCTCAGTATCTTCTTCCATGCACCACCCCCTCCACAGATTTCAGCAAAGGCATCAAACGCTTCGGGCCAACCAACAAGTATTTTCAAATGCAAATTCCCTCCCTGCCACTCTCACCCCATCCCTAACTGCTCTCTGAGCAGCTGGGGTGGGGGGGCAGCAAAAATAAATCCCATTTTCTGCTCCTTTTCAGGGCTGGGCTGCCTTCTCCCCTCCACGGATGGGGGATTAGAGCAGCCTCAGGTTCTCCTCTGTCTCGCAGGGAGGGTGATGGGTAGGGCAGGGCCCGAGCCAGGGAGGATGGAAGTGTCCGTGACAAGGCTAAGAATAACAGGCTCCGTCAGGCCTCACCCTCTCCTACTTGCCATGGCTCAAGTTGTCCGGCGTTGTGTGGGAGACAGGCAGACAGATACAGGGTGTCTCCACAGGGCCGTGTGCGTCTGCTGGAGACGAAGAGTGAAGTGGGGGGGGGGTGCGCCAGCGGGGGGCCCAGCTGACAGGCGGGTGTCACGGACTTGGCTGGAAAAGAGACAGCCCTGTGTGACAGCGAGCTGGCGAGGGAGCCAGGACGGCTCGTGAGCTTGAGTGCGTGTGTGTGTGCACAGAGCCTGGGGGTGCAGGGGCGAGCTATTGTGAGAGGGGCCATCCATGCATGAAAGAGCCAGGCACAGGAGGGCAGGGCCAGGGCCAAATACGTGGTCATCAGTATCTGTGAGTGGCCGAGGGGGTGGCCCTGGCTCTCGCCCAGGTTGTGGCAACTCAGGCAGAGGCACAGGGACCCCCAAAGCGGCCCTCCGCTGTCTGAAAACAGGTGACTGTGTGTTACAGCTAAGGTGTGCCTCGCACGAGTGTGTTATGTATGTACACGCCTGTCTCTGAGTGTGTCTGTCTCTGAGTGCATTGAGATCTGCTTCTGAGCATGCAAATGCATCTGTGTATGTGAATGTGCATGCATGTACATGTGTATGTGTATGTGTGAGCCTGCTCGTGTGTGAGTGTCTGCATCACCGTGTGATTGTGAATATACCATCTCTGTGGGACAGGTGTGTGAAGGGTGTGCATAACTGTGGGAGAATGTGTGGGGAGACACAGGCTGAGCTCCTCAGACCCTCGCCTGCCCAGACACCTTCCCTGGCCTCTGGCTCCAGCTCGAGTTGCTCTTTAAATCTTTCCATTTCCAGCACATGCCTGCAATCCTAGTGTGTGGAGGCTGAGGCAGGAGGATCTCCACAAGTTCCAGGTCACCCTCAGCTACATAGCAAGACTCTGTCTCCAAAACAAAACAAACGTCCACTGTAGAGTAAGCTAAAGATGGAGGCAGGAGACTGCTGTGTCCTTCACCCCTCCGAAGATAAAGCAGAAAGAACAAGTGCAGAGTCTGCCTGGTGAAGCACCTACCCCCGTGCCCTCATTAGCTGGCCTCAGTGTTCCAAAAGCACATGCTGGGGGAGGGACATACTGTTGGGTTTCTGCATGTGGCTCACTGGTGTCGCCAGAGGTCCCGTAACAGACGGCAAGAGGTCTGTCAAGCCGGTGCTCTGTGCCATGTATGGCGCCCTGGCCCTGTCAGAACAGCTGTCTGGGGGGATGGCTTCTTCCCGGGGTTTCCCCAACCCAGGCCCCCAGCCTTGACATCAACAGCCGGCGAGTTCTGCCTGGCCCAGGTACCCATCCATCTATAACACCACCAACAGGGGTCCTTTAATTCAGGACTTTGCGAAGCCAACAAAATGGTTCATTGAGAATGACTAAACTCAACCTTGGAAAGCAAATCATAAACATTTTACTACCCCGCTAAGCCAAGCATGATTACATATGGAAACTATGGACACTACTCAGTGGGATTTTCATATTAATTTCTAATTTCCTCTTTGGTGAGGACCTGATGAAAGCCCAGTCTCTCGGTGCTGTCCAGGCTAAGAGCAACATCTCCCACTGCCCATGCAAAATGCAGCTTCTCACTGAGGAGCTGGCTGCTCTAGCAGCTC